GATCCCATTGCGGTGGATGCGATGCTATGCTTCATGGCAATTCACGACTTGGGCAAGATCCGTGATATCCGAAGGGACTTGTCTCCGGGTATTCGAGATCACGACAAAGCTCTCTTATATATCATCGAGAATACCCCCGCAGTACTCCCTAGCTATCTGAGGTTGCCTGCTTTCTACCAGAAGCTGATACATTCCGCACTTACTGTGGAGTTCAACTTTGGTCAGTTTCTGCAGGGCGAAAATCTGCCGGCCAACTTGGTGAAGGTGAAGACTATGCTGGGTGACGAGGGGAAGGATGCTTTGTCGTTCTATCTGTTCCACATCTTCGTTGACATTGCTGGTAGCTCCGGCACCCGTACTTGGGAAGGAAGTTTGACCATGGATCAGTCTCTATACAGTACCTTCCAGGATGGCGTCAACTGTTTGGAGATGCTTACCACGGAGAGCGTCGATGATGTGTACAAGTCGTACTTGACTAGGCGAGCGCGGGCGACTGGGGCAGATGTGGTCAACAGAGCAGACTTCGCTCTGGCCCGGCTGAGCTGTCAAGCCCGTGTCAGTGACTTTAGTGATGCCGAGGAAGTCACAGCTGTGTGGAACGAAGGGCTGACTCCAGCAGAGCGCTCGGCCCTCACGGAATTTCTCACTAGAGATGGTATTGTTGGTCGCCCCGGCTACCTTGTTTACTATGCTCCCGCTTTCTTGTGCAACTGCAAGCGGAATGACTCCGTGGGCCTGTTATCTGCTGTGAGGATGCTTTTAAAAGTCTACGAGACTGCTGAAGACGAGTTTGGTGACGCTGCGCTGTACCAAGATGGCTACGTCACAATCCACATCAAGGATTTGGCTATTCTTGGAGCTACATATTCTGCCCGAATGCCCTTCGACCAAATGAAACTGTTCCTGACCAAGATCAACGCTTCCGAGGCGATGGTCGAGGGGAAGCCCTGGATTCCAGTCACAGATGAAGTGAGACATCGAACTCGAATCTTCGGGCTTGTCGACGTGTGTGTGTAGCGTGCTGTGACTTACGTGTTAGTCGTACAAGTCTGTTCTTTTCAGGCGCTACTGGCTCGTCATCGGAATGCGGGATTGCGCTTAGCGCAGGATATCTTGAGCAACTCATGCACAGAGACCGACTTCCTGCTGCAGATCCGTTCTGTCTATCCCGAGTTGGGCTACTTCAAGGGGCGGATTGATCTCACTCCTGATGCCTCGGCTTCAGTACCGCTCGCTGCCGCAGAAGTTGAGAGTTTGAGGACCCAAGGGGCGATGCTGAGTGTATTCTGGGTGTGCTCTAACCAGTACGACCAGTTTGTAAGGGGGCAGAATCCTAAGGATCGTCTCAGCGAGCGTTCTTGGCAAGCTATTCGGCAGTGGATTACCGACGTGGTGAAGATCAAGACTGTACGCGACGCGGAGCTCCTGGATGCCTTTCTGTGCTTCACAGCGATCCACGACCTCGGTAAGATGAACGACTTCCGAGCAGATGTTGTACCTCATGAAATTCGTGACCACGACGCTGCTCTTGGGTACATCATGGACCACTGTCCTGAAGTTCTGCCTAGCTATAAGAGCCTGTCCGACCACTACAAGGACTTAATACGGACTTCACTTCGTGTCAACTTCAACTTTGGACAGTTCCTCCAGGGTGAGAATCTACCGGCAAATCTGGTCGGCGTGAAGCGGCTTTTTAAGGACAAGACGACTGATGCTATGCCCTTTTTCCTATTCCACATATTCGCCGATATGTCTGGGATTTTGGGTGCGAGGTCTTTGGAGGGAAGCCTCTTTATGACTGAGACCATGTACAACAACTTCGCCCGAGGAATTGACGCTCTCCAGGAGCTACAGACTGGTTCTCCTCGGGATGTATATGATCGCTTCCTTCTCAAACGAGCGGCTGAGAGCTTCCCGAAGATCACTAATAGAGCGGATCGAGCATTTGCAAGGCTGGTGTGTCTATGTCGTATCTTCAACCCAGCTGACACGCGGCTACTGCAAGATGCCTTCGACGATTTGCCCGCTGCCAAGCGTGAGGAGCTTGTAGAGCACCTCAACAGAGATGGTATTGACGAGAAGCCCGCGTATCTGCTGTACTATGCACCAGCGTTCATGGAGAACTGCAAGCGGAACCCGGTTCTCGGTCTTGGCCCTGCTTTGAAGCTGTTGGTGAGAATCTATGAATTAGTCGACGAGGCCTTCAAGGTTGACTCTTTATCTCCGAAAGAGGACGCCGATGACTCAGAGGTCGACGATAATGTGAAGACTGAGGTGGCCGTTTCTAGCAGTGTTGGATGCACTACAGATGCAACTGCTGCACCCTGTGAAGTTGAAAAACCTACAAGCTCGTCGCCTGACCACCTCCCAGGGGTGGTGACTGCTCATTTGCGAGAGTCTGCGGACTGGGTGAAACAGTTGCGGGACTACTCGCAATTCTCAGAGAATCGGCTCGTTATGCAACGCATTAGTCCGAATGAGGCTGTCGTCCACGTGGTATCACTCTCTGTGAATATGTAGCCTTTTCTTGGCAGTGCTGCGGTTTCAGTCGAGCCGTTCCCTTGGCGGTTTCGGCCGTTATTTTTCAAGTGTATCTGAGATAGTTGATTAAAAGTATTCATTGTAGTTCATTTGTTACCATTGAGAGGTATTGGTCGGTACACTGGAGTCACCTCTTCATTGTCATTACTATTATATTGCTCTTCGTCACTGGATTAGCTGTGTATAGGATCAGCGCATCCATTTTCTCAGTCCGTGATGACTGGTTCAGTGACCGGCTTCTCTATACCTGCTGTGTTGATGTTGGGTTGATAGTAATCGCAATCTGACTGGGGCATTCCTCTCGGAGAGGCCATGAGAGTCGTAGGACCACGAGTGGACTGCTTGCTATGAATCTAGTCAGGAATGTGAAATAGTTTTAGGGAATATGTTTTCGGTGGTTGTTGAGTTCTGTTGTAAAATGCTCATTCGACACAGGCTTGGTGATAGTTTGCCCATCTCTGATGCCGATCTTTGTGCTCCTCAGCTCAGTGTGTTATCCTTTTTCACCGCTGACCTCAATGGTCGGTCGAAAAAGGCGAGGGCTTCATCTCGCCCTTTGAATGAATCCGAGTTCCGAGGTGGTTGGAATAATACGACAGAGCCAGCACTAATCCGAATGCAATCGTGCGATAGATGTGTTCAGTCATACGATGCCATTCCTGGACACTGGAGAATGCGGTGTTTCGTTGATATGGAATGGAGCTCACGGATGGCTCAGGTTGAGATAGCTGACATGTCGTCTGCGCCGTCTGTATCGAACAGCCCCTCGTCCGTGGTACCGCAGATAGACGGAATCCCTGACACAGTTGATGGGGATAATGCGAATCGCGGCATAGGTAAATTGACACCGAACGAGTGACGCCTCTTCATTCGTGAGTGGCAACATGGGTGACACTGTGCTCTGATGTGTCCGTCGGAGTAGGCATGCTTTTCAGGGCTGAAGCAGAGGATTCGGGACTTGCAACGCACCGTGGAGACTGAGGTGGATCTTCACGGCTGCTGGGCGGGTGCATCCGGAAATATTACTCGTCGAGGTCCTGACTGCAAGGAAAGAATTGGCCGTCTTGCGGGGTCAGGAGATTGGTACAGAGGAGCAGGAACAGTCGGACCGGGCCACCTTGAGCGAGGAAGAACACCAGTTGGTGGAGCGAGTCAAGCAAGAGGTCATCGAGAGTGAGTAAATAAACGCCATGAGTAGTGTCGGATCTCGACGACTTATTCGAATCGGTTGATACCATGTGCCTCATTGCATGGGACTAACACTCGTTCGCTGCAATACTTCTCGAGTGATAACTTAACAATATGCCTGAATATGCATGACTCGGGATGCACACGTTGACAACACTGTTTGACGTACCGTAAACATAACAACTTCCTCGCTGTCCACATGATGAGTTTTCGTGTTGTCAGATTATGATCAATTTTTCGACGAACTCGAAAGTACATTCATGAGGAATCAGCGAAGCGAGAACGAGCGGCTACTGTCACAGATCGAACAGCTGAGAGCCGATAACGCGAGCTTGCAGTTGATGGTGGTGAGTAGTGCTGCGGAGGTTGGTCATTGACCAGCTCGCTCGAATCGACATTACTGGGTTATAAGGACTCGTCACGAGGCCAAACGTGGAGTTGTTCTCTGTTGATCGCTGATCAGGTTGAACTATCACGAGCAGTCAGTCGACTGGAGGACGAGACAAAGGTGGGAGCTTACCCTCGCAAGATAAACGCCACATTCGAATCTCATGAGCGCTTATCAAAGGGGAGGGGGGGTTGTAGTCAGCTTCTGAAATACCTGACCTCGATTCACCAGATCAGTGTAGAAGGTGACACTTGCGTTACTTCAGGCCTAGGGAGAGTCATACATGCTTGAACAGTGATACCGTCTTGGCCGTTGTCCATCTCGTTGAGTTGTTAGTGCATACCCTTAGTCTCGTTATAGTGCGACTCCTTCACTATCTGATAGATTTTTCCATGGCCGCAGCTACTCGCCACAACGGAGGGCGAAAAAAGGGCTTCAGTAGCGCACGTTGGGTTAATTGGCGGTGAGTTTCGAGAGGGTTGGAAGCTTCAAAGCGACAACGATGAGAAACGTCAGTGTTTTCTTTATTTTTTATCCTCGGTCATTCGCACTGGTGTACATAACTGTATGAGGCGCAAATAGTTTGAAATTGTGCAGTAGCGAGCGATAATGACTATGGTAATCTCCACATGCTGAGTGCACTGGTCGAAACTGTCAGACGCAGTGTTGGGAAATTTGATTGTCTTCCTTGGCTGATCTCAAGAGTTTCCTCACTAATTATAACAGTTTATATGCGAATTCGGGTAGAAAATTTCAGAAACCAACGGAAGAATTTCCCAAAAAATTTTCAGAATTTTCATACGGTCTTTCCCACACATCATGTAGGGTATATGCTGCTATGATGGTCCTCGCCGCTGGTATTATATTGGGGTCATGGTGGGCCGACCTGCGGGAGAATGCAGTGGACGCGGATGCTCGGAACCGCCCGAATCATGATGAGGTCTCGCGTGAAGAAATATTGCGGTGGACCAATGGTGAGAAACGTCTGCTTCTGCCTGAGTGGCCGCTGTATCGGTAGCTCATCGTGCGACATGTTCATGTCATACGCTGACGCTCGCTCGGCATAGATTCGCGTCGAAAACTGGTGGCAACTATACAGTTTGGCAACGTACCATATATACTTCACGCGATTTTACTATATATTGGCTTGTGACGATTCCTATGATGTGTTGAAATCGTGTTTGTGCAGCAACTGCGCGTCGGATCGCTGATGATTTTACTCGTGGCCCTCTCCAGTCGTCTAGGGTAAGTCGGCTCCTAGCCTTGATGAATAGGTCTTGTTACAGGCGTTGCTGAGAACGCTGCAATCTGATACGTTTGGTGGGTATGTTGGCGCGAGGGTGAGATCATCGCCGAGCCTTGGTGGGAACGAACGAGGCTTATTTGCTCGGAAAACTTTCGCGGAAGGCGATATCGTGATGCGGATACCAAGGACAGCGTGGTACTCGCAAGACGGTAAGCTCAACGAACAGTACTGTTGAGAATGCTTCCATTGGTTTTCAGATATTCCCACTGCGCTCGCTTCTATGATTGGCACGTCGCGACTACAAAGAGTAAGTGATAATGGAAAACCCCCGTTGTGAAGCAACTGTCGTCCCCAGGTTGCGCCTGAAGTACAGCGGATCGGCTTGGGACTTGGCCTGTTGTACGACGTCACCTCGCTGTCCTCTAATGAGACGAAAGGTCGGGCCACTTGGCTCGCTGGCGCGAGCTCTTCGAGTAGGGCTACTGGATGTTGTGTAGGCTGGTTGCATAATCGACTGGGGAAGTCTCGGGTCACGGATAAGGAATTGCTCAAGCAGTGGTTCAGCTCCTTTCCTGACAGCTTCGACTCTGTCGTGAGATTTAACACCAATCAGAGTGCACTTGTTTTCGAACCAGCGCGAGGCGAACTTCGTCGGTAGGTTTCAAACGTGCCGATTGAAAGCGGCATTGTAGGTCCTTGCAGGTTGGAAAGGTTTCTTGTCACTTGTCGTAGCTTTGCTACTGTGATGCCTACTATGTTCGGAATAGAAAGCATGGAGTCAGCAGAAGCACAACTCCATGTTGAAACCTTAGCACGGTAGGGCGGGACTAGTGCGAGCCGTTGCTGTACACTCACCACTAGGTGGGCGTGGGGCATCGTCCTTTCCCGTACTGGTGTGGCGCGAGTAAAGGAGGCCACTGGTGCTGAACGTGATTTAGTATTGCTGTTGCCGGGTGTGTCACTGGTGAACACTGCGATGGACGATTGGAACTTACAAGTGAGTCGGAATGGTCAACACTGGCGTCTCAGCCATCTCTGAGTTTTCATGGGAAAATGTCACTGTGGGAGGGAAATTCAGACCGTTACGAGTTCACTTTTGGTGAAGCAGTTGGCAGGTGGTAAACTCAATAGTGAATCAAGAAGACGTTCTTGACTTCACTAGTTCCCAGACACGCTCCATCATCCTGCAGTTTTTTAACAGCCTTGATACGGGAAGTCCAGCAAAAGTGAAGGGTCTGAAGCATACGGTGCATCAGATCTACGTGGCGGAATCGATACTTATATATTGCCTCAAACCCAGTAGTCTATGTCTTCGTCTCCTCTGTTCAGAATCCTGAGTGTGACCATCAGGCTTGTTCGGTTCGAGCTCGGCGGACGATACGCAAGGGTCAGCTTTGTAGCTACTGCGAGTTGGGCATCTCATGGCAGGTGAAGAGCTCACGATGGACTACGGTTTGAAGAGTAACTTGCAGTTCTTGGTTTTCGGTGGCTTCACCATCCCAGGAAATGAGCTCGGGTATGTCCGGGTGCACGTTGTGGCACATGACTCTTGATGAGATCTGAACAGTTTAGTTCATTTTCACAGGGCATTGGAGCTCTCAGGTACCCGATGCGGATGAACTTAACAGCGAGGATGGGCAAGGACATGCCCTCAGAGTGTGAGGCTCCTTTCGTGATTGGTGAGCGTTGGCAAGCCCGCTCCTTGGTTGGTCATTCCTCAATGTTTCTTCTCACTACTGTCAGGCTTAGATTCTGAGTGGCATCGGATGTTGAAGTGCAGCCGTTTTGCAGTGTAAGGCGATGAAAGCTTACGACTTGCTCAAGTTGATTCCCTCAAATGATATGTTGTTGCAGCCTCGCTATTAGACTCGTCACGTTCTGCTGTGATTGCCAAACTAACCACTGTAGGTCCGGAAGTGAAGCGCAGTCGTGGGACTCTGGTGAATTGGAACATCCCCCCTCGCAACTGAGTTCACAAGACGAACGGGTGAGGCGAGCTCTATCTTGGACCGCGATTGTTTCTCCGGGTACAGGCTCTCCGAACGATTATTACGAATCTTCAAGAGAGAGTGGAGGAGATCACCCGGAGTCTTGCCTCGGTATGCATGTCTACTCATCTGCCACTGGATTCGTGTTCCTGGCAGGTGGACATTCCTGCAATGGAAGCCGACAAAGACCCTCTCAGTGCTAAGCTAGTCGGTGTCGTTCGACAGGAGTTGAATGCTGCTATCGCTTGGCGTGAAAAGGCGGAGGCTGTGATGCTCAGCTCGAGGCGCTAATGAAGACAAGTGAATGGTAAACTCAAGTCGCCTGTATTCTTGGAAATCGATTTATAGTGTTCCTACGATGCTTCCTATGCTTTCTATCTACCTGTAGTACTGTGTTTGTTGTATACTCAACCCTCGCGAGTATGCCTGGTTTCCCCTCCAATATTTTCCCTGCCATGATTTCTGTGAGAATTGACGATGCCAAATGTGGAAGGTTCATTGTATTGTTGATTTTCATGCCAGAAGTTGAGCTCCAATCCTCCGCCGTCTTCATAACGTGTTCATAGTATTATATTCTCTGGGGTGACGCCCTGTGCAGTATGCCTTGTTGAGGGTGACTCCCGCGTGACGGTCTCTCACGCGTGACGCACATGCCCCCCCCGCTCGAGTTGGAGCTCCTTTTTCCGTAGTCTTTTAAATTCTCATGGAACGTCTCCACTTACTCTCGCTAACCGTTGCGGCGTTGGAAAGACTGTGGGAAAAGGCGGATCTCAGCGGGCGGTTCGAAGAGCTCCTTATGGAGATTTCGAGCTTCACACGACTAAGAACTCTCCAGTTAACTGAGTTAGCTTCCAAAGTCGCCGATGTTGATGGTCGACTCGAACACATCTTCCATCGACGAGGTCGCGTCATGATAGTTTCCTCGGGACCGGATGGGCGTGCTTTCGTATGCGATGCAGAGTCTGATGAATCGTTCGAGTTCGAGATCTCCATGTGGGTAGACAGCTACTATCACTACGACCCATCAATAGATCGGCTTTACGTCACCGACTTCGATGGGTATCTTCTCGTCCTGCTCGATTTAGCCTCTGAACTTCCTGAAACCACCGTCGTTCGTATTGATATTGACCAGATCCCCTTCAACCACACTAAAGAGTTCATGTGCGCTGGGAGGGTGTTCATATGCGGCTTGTTAGAGGACGGACGAATAGCTCTGTCCCTGCTTGACATCGATGAGAAGCGGAAGTGCAGTCATCTACTACCTCTGTTGACATCAAGAATAGCGGCTACCTGCAGACACTTGTATGACTTTGTTGTGAGCGAAGAAAGCAGCAACGTCTTCGCCTTCACAGTGAGGGTAGGAAATGACCTCTTGCAGGCGAGCCTCCGTTTGAGTGGTCATTCCTGCTCGATCGAACAGGATGAATCTTGGAGTGCAATCCCAGTAGCTCGTCCGCTTCTACAATGCATATCGCACATTTGCCTACTCGCCCCCGAGTTGATGCTGATGGTGTCATGTCCATGCGGGGCGGAGATGGTATCCCTGGTTCTCATTGAGTTTCGCGACGGCCAGTGGTTCGTCGTTAGGGGAGATCCAACCTTGAAGATCAATATACCTTCTCATCTCAGTATCGATTCTGGCCTGCTGTTCCACACTGCACACTCTGACCCGGATGAGAAAAAAATGGTGTTCTCCACTTTCCGTTGTACTTGGGAGTAAAACTATAGTGGCTCTCAAGTCCGTTGATCGCTACTGCTGTTGAGGCATCTTGCTTAGCCACTTAGTAGCACTGTTTGTTTTTTCAACCAGACCAGCTTCTTACCATTGACTGTTAGTTATCGAGTAGTGTTTAATGAACTGATTCGGGAGAGAGGAGGACTTAATGCTGTAGTTTCTCCAGGCCTATAATAGTTCGAATCAATCTAGGTGTCGAAGGCGGTCAATAGAAAGGGTCTGTAGTAGGTGAGCCATTTGTTCTCCACCTGTGGAAGCAGAGTTGGATGATTTGTCGGCTCTCCTCAGCTGAGCTCAGGATTTTCTTCACTAATATGCGAGAAGCTTACAAAAATCCCCAAAATTTCCTCAAACTTTCGATGTTGTCACCGACACATGTTGCTGGCCATGCTGCGCTGAATAACGTGAGGCGCTCTGTAGAGAGATGAATGTGGCATTCGTAGGCTCCAGTCTATCAGCTGGTGACTGTAAGTCCAAACTAGTGAACTCAATGTAGGAATCAGGGGTCAACTTTTTGTGTAAATTTGCTCCTATGGAACGCTCATTCCTGAGTGCACAGCCACCACAACCCGAATGCACAAAAACCGGATATGCTAAGAATATGTGGAGGGGTGTATGTGGTTTTAGCAAGGGATCTCAACCAAGTTAACGTATGGAACTGAATGAGCTAGCCTATACTGGGGATGGTTTCAGTGGGTATTGCCCTCCAAGCTATGAATAACAAGAACAGTGGCTGAGTCGATTCGAGCCATCCGGAGGTGAGCACTGAAAAACTCAGAGCTCTCAAGGGAATGATCACTGCACGCTTATATTGATCATCTAGCTACATCGACTCCTATAACGATCAGGAGGTGTGGGTTCACAATAGAGCAGAAGGCTCACAATATCGTTTTTGCGTTCTTACGCGGAACAATTCTTCTACTCTACAACTTGGTCGGGACTATTCTTGCAGTTGAGGAGCACGAGACGTTAGCTTTCAAACTCCTGGACGGTCCCCTATTCTCCCGAGATCTCACCTTCTTGGAAGGAAAGTCAGGATTCATCGTGAGACATAAGAGCAAATGAAGTGCTTCCCAAATGTGTTGTTGAGTTATATGAATTCATCTCGGGAGTATCATTCATTCAGCGAGTAATGTGGGTCCAGCCCCTCCAGTGGGGATCGCACCATATGGCTCTAAACCGGCTGCGATACGCAGTACCGGTACTGCGGTCTCTGACGAGCTGTCACCGCCTAGGTATGCTCGGTTCAAAGCAGTGGTTCGGCTCGGCCTCTCCAGCCGTGCAGAGAGAGGACGTCCTGAAGTACTTGCCGGCTCTGATGCCGCGGCCAGCACTGACCGATAGAGAGGTGGTAATAGGGTAGCTCTAGGGAGGGCACTTGCAGACGAATTGCTCTATCGCTGTGTGGAATAGCCTCGCCTTGTTGCTGTAATCATACGGTATTTTGGCTGGCTTTTCTCATGATGACGATTGACTCTTCCTGGACAGGATGAGGTTGTTTGCATTGATGCATCATATGGGACAATCGGCTGGAGGCTTGGCCAGTAACGGTCATTACGAACATATAAGAACTATGACTCTATATTGTTTCTAAATGCCAGCTTCTACTCCATCCTATGATTTCTGACCAGGCGATGTTTGGTCTCCTGCGTAGATACTACACCATCAACCTGTGTCAATATTGACTGGTGGTGACGTACACTCTGAGAAGGCAGACGAGACCCCTCTCCTTCCGGAAAAGGAAGAGAAGGCAACACGTGTTAGGGCCGACGCCTTCGCCAAGAGACTAGCGAAAGTATGGTTGGTTACTCCTGAGAGATTCCTTATGACAAGGTCTTCCAGATTGATCAGGAAACTGACTTCCGCATGAGCTACTCGCCGCCCAGGGGTATCACATTAGTATGTAATGAGGAGCAAGCAATGAGAGCGGTAGAGTATGGGAGTTGATACTATCGTTGAACGCGATAGTGACAGATACGAGCTCTGGAGGCGCACCGGGGCCCAGTAGCGTGGGACACGGAATTCTGGAATGTGGAATTGACGAGGAACACTCCTGCGCACAGCTCGGGGGAGGTAGGGTTCCATGAAAGATATCATAGGAAGCTCAGCATCGTGTAGTTACTGTGCTTGACTGCTTTCGGAGGTGGCAAGCTCGATTTTGGCTCTGGCCCGTTGCTCTTCGTGGACTGCAAGGGGCCTAGCAGGCATGTTCTAGACCTGTTCAGATCGTACTTTGAAAATCCTGCCAAGTAAGCTCTAGTGAGTGTGACTGCTTTATTGCTCGTTGATTATCTACCTCCGCCTGAGCCCTCTGATAGAATGCTGCTGTAGTTATCAGAGCGACTGTCACTTCAGGAGGAAGATCTTTCATAACTTCGCTGCTGATGCGCATGTCTTATACGGGCATGGTATAACAGTGCGGGGTCTGGAGGCCGACACTAGATACCTCGCGCGGCTCTTCGATTCCAGTCTCAGTAGCTGGGAAGATCAGGTGAGAGTGTCGTGCGTACTGTTAAAGAGGCTATGACGGCGCGAATGATAGCAAGCGGTCTCTCAAAGTGAAGTGTTTCTTACACTGGTTCGATGGAATCAGCAGAGTTCTGGCCCACTATAGGTTCAGCCAGAGAAACCACCACTATTGCTGCGAAAGAGCAAGACCTCGACTACTAAGGAGGCTCTCATCGATGAGGGGGGAGATATCTTCAGCACGCCTCTCAACGGTGACTCGGCTACGCTTGAGCCACTGTCTGTCGGTGGGTCGCGTCACCACATACTATGATCGTCATCTGCGCTCGTCCAGATTGTGAACAACATTCGGGTCCTGGGAAGGGCTATCAGCTCAAACGACTTGTCAGTCTGTTTGGCATCGCGCCGAAAGAACCACCGTCGTTCAAAGAGAAGTAGTTGGTGTCAGCGACGGTGAATCTGAAAATTGCCTATACAGGTTCGCAGGCAGACTCGGTATTGGAGGTTTGGAAGCCCATTGCAGCGAGGAGAAGTTCGGAGAATGGTTGAAGTATGCTGCTGATGACGCGTATTTCACGTTTATGCTCTACCGTGTAAGATGTCTTGATCGGTCTTATGGGGATGTGCTCTGACCTGTCGTCTTCTCTTAGCGTCTCACTGACACCTTGCGAGGCCAAGAGTGGTGTACTGAGTTGCACTGGCAGCCTATTCGCGAGAAGATTCGCCATGGAACAACAACATTCAACGGAATGAACGACCCAGAAACGTGAGCATTTCATCATGAAAATCTCGCGTGTATGCGGCATTACACTATGCCCGGACTAGAGCAGTATATGTGACGCTAAGTCCTACTATCGTTTACCGAGGACTGAGCCTAGGCATACTTGCGTCGAATCGAGTATAGCCAGTCGAGCTCGGGAATAATCTTGCGACTGCACCTTCAATATTCATAAGTTTTGTCATCGCTGTGAACGGCTTTTTGTGCGCCTCACCTGTTGGATTGGCAGATACACAGGTTTGTCGATGTCCGATTTTGCGGTGAAATTCTATCGCCCTTTCACTGAGCTCCTAGTAGAGATCGAGAGGCGAGGCTTTGGCGCTAACAGGGAGTATCTAATCCAACAGTTAACGGCAGCTCAGGCGGACCTCCAACGGCATAAAGATGCCTTTCGGACGATAGCGCAGTCGCTGAAAGGTACGTGGAAGTATTCTCGAATAGTAATAGTTTCTTTCTGCCGTCGATCTGCTTGTCATTTTTCTGCCAATATCCACAATTGCTAGCGGCGAATTGGTTTTGTGGTCAGATCGCCGGGGTCAGCCGTTGAATCCCCAGGCAGAGTTCATTAACCCGAGATCAGCCAAGCAAATACGACAGCTCCTCTTCGGGAACCCTGACGAGCCGGACCATCTGCGATGGGTCGCCCGTAGAGTGCGAGCCGGAGAGGAGGCAGAATGGATACAGCCTTTCATGGAGTTCCCCACTGCCCCATCGTCCAAGCATCGATTCATCGTGAAGGGGCTTGGTCTCCAGCCTATAGCCTATCTTTATGGCCGTGAACGGTTGAGCAACTACGCCCCCAGTGGCTGGCCTAAGGTGAGCTCCCGGCTCTTGCCGTCCAGTATTCGGGATGATGGGCGGTTCAGCAAGTTCCCGCTCTGACAGGTCGAGTCAGCTATTCTGAGAGCTTTCGCTGGTGAACCTCACGAAGGTAATTATGGCGTTGCTTACCAGCAGCTAGAGCCTGTACGTGGCCATGAACATGCAGCAAGCGTACGAGTCCGATACAGATAAGCGTGCTAACTCTGGTGGTCTTGTTAGGTGTGCAGGCTACTGTGGCATCTACAACGGAGTATCAGGATATCCGCGGCAATCACCTCGGTCCTATCGCCGTTGATAGAGCGTATAAAATACGATGAGGATGGGTTCGGGAGGATCCACCCTAGTCTGGCGCTAGACACGACCACGGGTGAGATGGATCGGATGTCACTGCAAGATTTGTTACATTGAGAAACTCGGGCATCCGAGCTGACGGGATTACTCTCTCAGGTCGACTTTGCTGTCGCAAGCCGAACTTGCAGAACCCTCCAAGTGCTCACAACGACCTCTATTCCATCCGGAAGGCATTCAGCGCTCGCCCCGGAAATACGCTCATCGTCGGAGACTACTCGCAACTCGAGCTCCGCATATTGGCACACATGTCGAGATGTGAATCCATGATAAGACAACTGAATCAGGGCGGGGATATCCATTCACAGTGCGCAGTGGACCTCTTCCCAGAAGTAGCAGAGGCCGTTGCCAATGGATCTGTAGGACGCCTACACTCGCGAATAGATAGGAGAGCCACTGTGCAGGTCGTTATTGACGACGCTGAAGCGCATCCGGGCATACCCAGTGTGAAAACCAAGTTCTCGACTCAGCGGCAGCAGGCCAAGGTTGGACCAGGATCGCTTAAGACTCTCCACTGCGATCCTTTAGAATTCAGGTGATGAACTTTTCTATTGCTTACGGGAAGACTGAAAGGACATTAGCTGAAGAGATGGACCTGCCTGTCACTGACATTAGAGACATGTTCACGAGATGGAACAACTCTAAGAAGGGAGTCGAGCGATGGAAGGCAGAGGTCCGTTGGATCGTTCTGGGGAGTCCTCGAGGTTTCTGGGCAGATCATTCAGCAAGCCCGCGATACGCAGCACGCGACTTCCGTACTCGGACGCCACCGAAGATTCCCACATATCAAGCATAGGCTCCGGAAGTAGAGTGTTTTGGTGGCGCATCTTTCCAGCCCATGGAATCAGCTGTACCCGTCAGATACTCGGGAAGGTCAGAGCGTGCAGCGGTGAATTTCGTCATCCAAGGGTCGGCGGCCGACATCGCCATGATGGCCATGCTTCGCGTCGATCGAGACGAGAGACTACGGCGCATGGGGTTCAAGATAGTGATGCAGGTGAGAAATGGGCGATTCCAATCAGCATCCTGAACGATGCCGTAGGTACATGATGAAGTGATCCTCGAAGGACCCGCAGAGAATGCCACCGACGCAGTTCCCATCGTGCGAGACCTCATGGAGCATCCCTTTGCCGATATCAAGCCTGACTACCGGATGTTGATTAACCTTGATGTTGATATTGCTACTGGCACGAATTGGTCTGATGCCAAACCCTGAATCAAATATTTGGCGCATTGTGTGTTACTGTACCGAGTTGTTTGAAATCAAATACGCCACTTCCATCTCTCCATTTCGCCAGAGCGACGTTGTGGTACCATTGTAACTTTTGATTCATTTCTCTCATCATTGGGTACATTAATTTAAGATTTTTTCCCGTAGCTGCCCACGTAAAATTTGCACGTGCTTCTGCCCGGATTGTAGTTTGAGTTTCGCATCGGCATTAGTTGAGTGAAGCAAGTGGTTTATCATCACACACCGATTGTACAACCCATTTACATCACTATGTATAACCATGTCAGCTGAAACTCGCTCCAACGCCAAACCAATGGAATGGCGTTGCAGTCTTTTTCATGTACGTTGGCCGGTTGAACTGCATGCGCGACTCCGTTATGATTCACAACTTATGAATAACTCCTCAAGTCAGCTCACTTTTGAGGAGTGTATATGTACACTGCCCATCGTGGTGAACGCAACCGAAAATTCTATCGAGGGAACCTCAATTGAGAATCTGTATTCAAACGACTTCGTGCTACTCTAGACATAGGCATAACGCAACAACGCTGCCATAGGAAAAATGGAACCATTAAACTGGATATCAGTACGAAATTTGCATATGGCTCTCGATCTCAATCAGCAACCAAACGTGATTGACAGATGACCGATGATCTTTGAATTCATCGAGAACTCTGCCTTTGTCATAGCTTGTACAAGCGAGTTTTTTTCTCCATTCCTCTTCGTTCGGGAACAGCCGCGCCTCTTTAGACTGCTAGCGAAGTTCCTCGCTCACTTCGATCCGGCTTGAGCATCGACGCAACAACAGGATTCGGTGGCTAGTTCAGCTGCAGAGTCAGGCAATTGAACGATACAAGAGGATCGCCCTGACTTTTCTTCGAGGCCTCGGTCTCTATTTACAGGCTGGGGTTGGCGCATTTCGGACGACACTGTCCTTTTCTGGCCGCTACAGCATCCCGCTTTGCAAGCATCCGTGGACGGTGTCTTCTTCGAGCTATTGCAGCATTGCTTCTTGCACATTTGTACAGAGCTGAAGCCCGGCTCCCCATATCGGGGCGAGTGAAGAGTCTTTCTCGTAGGAGATTTCGCCACAGCTGAAGACCGAACTGCCGTCGCCTCCTCAGCAAATTTGTCCATTATAGCCGTGTTATTCGGCCTCCAGCTCAGCGGACGAGCACCATTGGCCATGACCAAGAACAAGCACAGCCCATCCGACACCACGGACACCCATAGAGGGATATACCCCGCAGCGCCAACGATAACGACAAGCGCCTTCGTGAACAGAGCGATAGTCAAATTCTCGCGAACGACATTGCGCACGCGTGAGCCGAGTAGAGCAATTTGACCAAGCAGGAATAGACCGCGATTCGGGTCCGTGATGATTATGTCAGCCGCCTTCTCTGAAACAGCTTTACAAGGGCTGGAAAACGAGACTCCGACAGCTGCGAGGGCCAGGGCCGGGCCGTCGTTGAGGCCGTCACCAACCATCATGACGGGATGTGCTATTTTTGCACCCATTTTGGGATGTGTAAGAGGCAACGCCTTCGGGTCCGATGACTGATAATCTCTCACAAAGTCTAGCTTGTCCTGTGGGCGTAAATTAGCCTTGCAGTTGTCGATACCGAGCTCTGCAGCAACCTGAAACCACGTCCTGCACCACAAATAGATTTCAACGAGGCCGAAGAAGGGAGGGCCATAGACTCACGTGTTGCGCAATGGGAACTGTATCTCCCGTGAGCATGCAAGTCGGTATCTTCAAAGCCTTCAGCGCTTCTAGGGCACCCGGACGAACACAATCCTGCAGCTGCAGACAGAGGGCGACCTGAGATGGATTCAACTTGGCAGAACCACAGGGCACAAATTGCGAAAAATGTTCACCTGGCCGTCGATAACAACGAAGATTGAGGCAACTGCCCCTCCTGAGATTTTCTCGGAAGGGATTCGGAAACTCTCCAACATAGCAGGACCGCCGACCATAACTTCCTGATCAATGGAACTCGGTTTAACAACACGTAAAGGGTTCGCACTTTGCCTTCGACCGATCCAGCGACCCCAAGGTTGCCGTCCAGCGTTCTGTAGTTTTCAACCGAAGGCAACGAGGACGAGCTGCCGACATACGAGGCAGTGCAACCTGACGTTTCTTTGATGAGATAGACTTGAGACATATCAGGCATGCCTACCCGTGTAGTAGTTGACAACAGCGCTGGCCAGCGGATGGTGACTCAGCGACTCGACAGCTGCTGCTAGTCTCAAGGCTCCTCTTTCCCCGAGACCCTCAGCTGCGGGGAAAAGTTCTATTGACGTGACGCGATGTTCGCCTGGGGTGAACCGCAATCAATACCACGCCATTTTCATATCGGGAAGCAGATTCAGCAATAAGGTTTGAGATCGCGAGAAGTAACCGGAAACTAACCCTGTGTTAAAGTGCCAGTCTTATCGAAGGCGACGAGCTCGAGCTTGGCTAAGCTCTCAATAACAGAGGGCGACTTGATCACAGTACCAAAATAATGCCGAAGTCCTACCAGGGCAGACTATAGACCGCGATGAACCATGAGCAAGGATCTCACCGGTTACGATTGCCGTCATGTATGCAACAGGAGCAGCCATGACTATACTGCATGGGCATGCAGCAACAAGGACAATGACGCCACGCTCTAGTGACCAGCAGTAGACTCCCGTTATGAATGAGAGCAAGACCACTAATGGTGTATAATACCTACGACACACCCCAAGTGAAGAAAGGGAGAAGCAGCAAGGACCTATTCTCTATTTTTCCGAAGGAGGCCCACTTTGCAAAAGTCTCGACTGAGTCCTGGAGAGGAGTGCGCTGACCAGCAGCTTCCTGTATCAGATCGGTAACCTTCTGGGTACGCCCAACTCTGCCGCTGACCTACAGACATTGATTCCTGTTGAGAACGATGTATGCTGATAATCGTCGGTCTATTTCACGCACTTTAATCGTTTGCTGTATAGCCACTCACCTCCACACTAGGCAGAGCTCCCTGAACGATCAGTGTGCCACTAAAAACTTTGGAGCCCGTAGTCTTGTAGACAGGAATGGACTCTCCTACATGAAAAAAGCCTCTGCCGTTTTCCAAAACGACCAACATGACCAACCTGTGAGTCGACTCTCATCGACACTGGCAGTGCCCTCGACCACTACTCCATCTACAGGAATTGAGTCACCAGTGCGGAGTAAGATGCGATCGCCAACCTAAGGGAGCCACACTAGGGGCAACTGCTCGTGAGGAATATGGTGCTCACCTGTAATGCACCCACTTCGACCATTTTCCTCGATCCGGCCAAGACAGCCACGGAGCCTTCCGCTGAAGCTGAAGCCTCCGCAAGGGACTTCGTAACAACAAGACTCATGCATGTCTGAAGATCGACCAGTGAAAAATATACCAATTCCGAGCTGCGGCGTTACTGACCTGGATCAAGCCGGAGCCGTTGACTATAGCACCGACCAAGACTGCCTCCGTCCATTGCATATTGATAGCTGCTCCTACAGCAGCTAGCAGCATGAGGACCTGACAATCATCGATTCTTCCGAGTGCGTGAAAGATACGCTACGACTCACCGACACATCAGTGAACTTCTTCATCAGCAGAGCTCGCCCAGCACCCAGGAAAAGCGAAAAGGAAAGGCAGAAGCCAATAACAAGAGGAATCGCAGCACCTTGCGATACACAGAGTTACACGACTGCATTGCCGACCAGGATGAACTACCCCAACAAAGTGATCCAATTTGGACTGCAATGACGAAACCCTCGAGCCAAGCCTGGTAGCGCATTCGTCCGATAGCTGCTTCCTCCGAAGCTTCGCCTTCGGCGCCGGTGTGAATCAGCGAGGCTCCGAGTAATTTTGCATTGAGGAGACTGACAAAAACATAAACTCAACAACGGACTGATCATACGTGATTTATCCCACAGGGCATCGATGCAGTCACTCTGGGCACAATGCTCAGGTTGCGGACAACGCGGATAGCCATTTGTATTCGCACTTTCGAGCCTAGCAATACGTATCTTTACATAGTTGTCCTCTTTGAGAACGATTACATGAATATACTCATGGACGGAATAATATGGTGAATGACAAAACAGTGATATTTATGAATAGCTAATCCAGTATTGACGACATTCTTATGAGATCAATTTATCCACCTCCTAGGATCCTAGCACTATCATGGGCCAGGCCTCTAGCGGAAGTATCACGAATAGATGCAATGACGATATCAATAATAATGGAGTTTCACCCGTTTTACGTGAAATGGCGTAAAACTCCGTGGAAAACGCGATATTCGCGGTATGCAGTAGTCGTGAAATATATTTTTCATATCACTAGGGTGAAACTCCTCTCTAGCTCCTGAATCTGCCGAGCCCGCTATAGTGCGAAAAGAAAAAAAGTAATCCAATATTAATCGGCCCCGTCGACTTCACTACTTGCATAAGTCCACAGCACTGATCTGTCCGCTATCGTGCTCCACAGTTACGACTTTGGTAACCGTGTTTACGACGATCCTTCTGACTCCTGCCTGAGGCTCCAACACGTCGTGCACCAAGTTGGCCTCCAGCGCACAGCAAAGATTTGCCACACGCACTTGCGTTACTGCCTCGGTCGACGCCATCCGAATGATCCAAAACGGAGAGAACTACGACCTACAATAGGCGAACCCTTTCAAAGACCTCCCGGCCCGATCGACGCAACCGATCAAATCACAAACAGTTTGACACACCATGTAAACGTTCAATAGCTTCTCCGGAAACTCACAGCTGGAATATGGCGCAATATTGGAATGGAATGGCGCGAGAAATCACTTCAAGAGGCTTCGATCGCCCTTCCCATTGATTGAACCACCGAGAGAGTGAGCCGCTCATATTCCCCGACCGCTCTTCCACTACTCTCCGCAGGCGACCGACTACAGCAGCTGTCATACGCGGGTCTCATCAGGAGCGCCGAGGCACGCTAGGCCTATTCCAGGCAGTCGGAAACGACACAAAGTACTGTTCACTTATCGGTAAGGTATGGCTTGAGTTTTCCTCTGTTCTCGTACACTCTGAGGAAGTGTACGAGCGAGCTTTCCTCAGCTGAGCTCACGAGTTTCCTTACTTACTGTAAAAGCTTGTATATGAATTAGGTTAGAAGTGTACAGAAACCAACGCGAATTTCCTCAAAATTTTCATATTGTCACCGACACAGTTGGTTGACCATGTGCATATCTTTCCATACTGGGCCTACCCCAACTTTCAAACACGTACCATCACGACGTGAAAAAGAATCAAGACCACCATGGAGACATCGATGCCCCTCGCAGATCGACTTCGTTCGACCATCCATCGGAGCTTTGCTTGTGGAGGAACAGTACGGTCTCGGCAATAGTCCGCGGTGAAATCAAGTTGGGAAGGCCTTCTTTGGAAGCTAGCTGTGCTCTGATCCATGGAGTGTCGACAGGTCCATCGACTACCACATGGGCTACGTGCACCTCAACACGACAATAACGTTCAGGATGAGGTCCGACTCTCACCCCTTTAGGTCCCAACTCGCAAGCCAGACTCTGCGCGAGCGCCCGCTTAGCATGTAGTGCACCGGAGAAAGCTGAGTAACCAGCTCGACCTGATACGAAGAGAAGTGTCTATAAGAAGACTATGTAGTATCCCAAGAAAATGCAAAAAGACTATGTAGTTTAGCATGTGGAAACATCTGTTGCTACAACACTGTCACGCTGGTGTTCGGGTAGGGAATGCGCGAAATGACGGACCCATACTCGATCAAGTGCTCATTTATACAGACCTCTGAGTCAGAGTATAGTAGAACCCAAAAAAATACAACAGACCCGTCCCACTCCAACCTCTGACTGAAGCCGTTGCCGATGTGACGACCAAGGTGCCCTTTCCTCGCAGGCCCATCTTCCTAGAACATTCGCGACCCGTATAGAAAGCACTCAAACGTGCCATCTCCCAAACCTTGCGATATCTACAAATAGAACAGCCGCAGAGGAACGACAGCCCTAAAGTTCAAAATTGGGATAGACGTTTCTTAGACCACATTCACAAGGCGAAACTTTGCAATCAGCGAAGTAGAAAATCCATCCGAGAAATGAGCTGACACTCTCGCCAAGACTGGCCTACACTCGAGCTGTAGTCTCCTCAACAGAGAAAGTCACATTGGCACCTATGTTGTGAACGCAAAGCGTTATGGGCCCAAACCTCCTCTCAGTCTCCTAAAAACATCCATGACTTCGAAACATCAGGTTGTGATCTTCCACTAGAGCATCTCGATACAGAGTCCATCGAAATGACGCAGTTGCTTCTATTCGAATACCCCGATGGCGACCCAAGTCAGATTGTCGTCGTCTCGAGAATCGCACGCAAGGTCAGATCCTACTTCAAAGAGTTTGAAGACTTCTTCTTCGAGACGTGCATCAGCTTTTATTCCGTGAATCTTACTGCTTCCCAACTCAGCCACAATTCCTGCGAGTTTGGATCCATTACGCCTTGATGCTACTACAGTGGATATACCTGTGAGCAGTGTTGGAATATGAGTTCGTTTTTCTCAGCTAGGATTCTATAGAAGGGTAGAAAAATGTAACTCCGAAAATTTCCTCAGCATTTCCATGTTGTCACCAACATATGTGGTTATTTGGAATTTTTCCACACTGCCTGTGAGACTTTGTGAACATATCTTTAAGGCCTTACCTGGGTCCTCCACAAGGTGCTCGATGATGGCTCGACCAATACCGTCACCACAGCCGACAACCAGAGCAACTCCACCATACTGATGCGAGACATGAGACGCGACACGCTCAAGTCGATTCAATGGTGGTCCGCTGGGTGGATCCCGCGCCGGTTTCGCCAAGAAACCCAACCCATCGCCTTAACAAAAATTGCGCGCGCTGGGGTGGGGGCCCCGGGCGCGCGCTAAAATCAAACCGGCTTTACCTGCGGCTAGAGTATATAGGCAAAATGAAGCCGTCTTCTCGCGACCTAGCCGTTCAATTGCGTTGAGTTTTAAATAGCATACGTAGCAGCCCGACACAGGTTGAGCACGCACTAGTCTGCGAGAATGTAACACAACAGTTTCGACAAGGAGCCGATTTAAAATGACCGCAAGTTCGAATCCCAGGCCTGACAATTTTAAATCTTTTATTCATGTCACAAAAACCTAGCGGAGCGATGCAGTCCGGCAAGATTCACGCAATTGTGCTGTCTCTGAAAGTCGTCTTCGCCCGATTCGTGCAGCTCAGTTGGTAGAGCGCCCGCCCATCATGCGAGAGTGCGCAGGTTCGATTCCCACGGTTGGCGTTTTTCATATATCTTCGTAAAACGTGTGTGTAATGTTGGATTGCTAACTTCAGTGTGATTTTATCTCCTATTATCTGTAAACAACGAATAACAACGTCGGATGATGTATATTTGTGTTGCAAAATATTAGCTCGATGTTTTGTCAAGAAAAACGTTGCGTCAGAACACCGTGCGATGTTTTGAGAGGCATCCATTTCCACGATTGCTAATTTCTCGTGTGTATCCAAAACGTGTCGAACATTTTCT